ATCATTTTAATAGAGTTTTAGACCTCTGAGAACAAAATCATTACTTGAATTCATGATTGGTTCTTAAACAGAAATTACTGGGTTAGATGCTCGAGCAGCACTGTTGATATCTGAAGCTGTGTTGAGTACTTTGCTTCTCCTTACTTTGCTTTTTTGAACTTTCTTTGTAGCTATTTCATATGAAATATTTTGCAAATGACACCTAAAGCAAAAGTAAGATCTTGCTTTATGTGTTAATTCCATGAAAATTACTACCTATAGTATGCTATAAGTTATAAGAAAAGAATTGGAGAGGAATGAAAGAGAACATGGGAAGAAAACCTGATGATCATGCATAGAGTAGTCTGAATGACAAAAGTAAGCAACTTCTGGCAAATGTTTGTTAGATGAATATGGGTTGATTTTCTTTTACCCCCTCCATCAGTATAATTTTTTCCATGCCATTCAGCAACATTGGAAATAAAATAATTGTCTAAATTAAAGTTGTTAATATCTTTAATTTTGTTTTATGATTGAAAGAAACTAAGAATTCCTACTAGGAGATTCTTAATTAACTCTGTGGAAGATTAGGTTGATTGTCTTCATTCACAGATGATATGATATACTGAATGGTTAAATGAATGTTCCAGAAACTCCGATAGGATCAAGGGTTTATTTTTGCAATTAAATTTCAGTCCATTATTATTTACCCTTCTTGATTATTATTATTACTATTATTATTGCAGAATTACAGGCTAGCTATTGAAGATTTAACTACAGCTATCAACATGGACAGAAAGTGTTATGTAGCATTTTATAACAGAGCATTATGTTATATCAAGACAAATGAACTTCAAATGGTGAGATGATCATTTAGTAAACAATAAGCTTAAACCATTTAAAAAACAATATTTACTTAATGACTTGTTGATACCAATAAATAACATTGATTAAACAATATGTTAAAGCATTTGTAAACATATTTAAAGCATCTGTAAAGTATTTTCCCATTTTGTCTGTAACTGTGGCAAGTAATTCCTATGGAAATACACCACATAAAACTGAATACCAAAGAACCATTTCAAAGAATATTTCTGTTAGTTTCCTTACACTATTTCTATAATAAGTCAAAAATTAATTTTTTAATGCTAATATAAACATTTAAAGGTTGAATAAATTAAAATACACTACATAAGTATCATGTGAGATGTATCTATGGATACTCTGCCTGTAGAATTTTATAGCAGTGATCACTAGCAATAGTATTGTTTCACTCCTTTGATTTTAGCTAGAGCAGTTCATGGAGGCATATTTTTGGAAGGTCCTGACACTCTACATGCAGTGGGGAATTGGTGTGATGGTTTTAGTCTCTGGGGACCAGTGAACAAGATGTGCCACTGTGGCTACAATAAATCCTTCTCTCCATTTGTCTTGATCCAGTGTCTACCTGTGTAAACTCTCTTTTATATTTCCCCGTCTTACTCTCATCTTCTCACTCCTTCTCAGTGAGGTCATTTTTCAAGGAGAATTCCTCAGGGTGGAGCAGCTGATCTGTGGGCTCCCAGTGTTCTGTCCTATTCATTTTGCTTCTTTTTCTCTCTTTTACGCTGGACTCCCCCTCCTTGTTTCTGCTCCTTTCCCAGTAAATGAAGCTTTTCCTTGGAAAGACTTCTTCCTATTTTCACTATTCTGTGCAAACACACTCCCCAGTTTCTCTGAAAGTTGGTCGTCTGTTTAAAACACTTAGAAGTTTGCAAGCTTTGAAGAGAAGAAGGGCTGGGAAACATGGGTTCTATTCAAGAGGATGCACAATTCCTGGCAACCAGACTATCAGGTTTCCTCCAGATAGGTTGACAAACGAATAACTAATTTTGAACAAGGGAGTGGTTAAGATCCCAGGAGTTAATTAAAGGAGCATTTATCAGTGACCTGCACAGCAGGTGTCTTTGAGAACTCCCTCTCCACCAGGACTCCTAGTAGAAAGGTAATCCTGAAGCCAAAACAATAGGCTGCATAGGGAAGGGACCTCCAAGTTTCTGTTATCTCAGATACTTAAAAAAGCCAAGTCCCTGTTAATAAAGAAAATGCAAAACTGCCTGAATAGATTGAGACCAAATTAGAACCACAAAACATTCGTGATTGTAAAGCATCCAGGACTCCAGATCATTTCATCCCTTCATTTTACAGAGAGGAAATGGAAGTAGGGAGAGGCTAGAAAACTCATCTGAGTCACACAGGGAGCCAGAGACCTGTGTGGTGTTCCAGGTTTGTTTGCTTCTGGGTTAACAGTCTCTAGGTGGCTTTACAAAGGCATCTGATCTCCAACATGTGGACCAGCTATCATTTAACAGTGTCACCTCCTTCCTTTTGCTGACTTCCATTCTCCACATTCTTGTCATCACTAGACTGATTAAAAAAAAAAAGTGTCTTTCCAAAAAAAAGCACTTTCAAGATATGGTGAATTCTGGTTCTACTATTCTATACTAATAAAAACAATAGCATTTACTTCTTATTTAGGGCTTGTTGTATGTCAAGTACCGGGTTAAATGATTGATCAATGTAGGAACAAAATGTTTCTAAATGAACTCTTAAAACAATATATTAAATGTTTAATATACCAATTTGCAGAGGAGGAAACTGAGAAGCAACTTCTAATAGAGCAGGATGATACACATCCAGGAAAGGTCATTCTCTTAAAACCACTGTGCTCCCACTTCCCCACTCCTGCTGACCAAGAAATCTCATTTCCTGGCAGTTGTTTCCCCTTATATCACATATTCAGCTGCTTAGCGGATCTCTAATGCACCTTACTGGTTTTATAGTCTGTGGTTCTATGAAAGGAAAAGATAAGTAATTTTTGGCTAAGCTTCTAGTATTTTTTTAAGCATTATTATTTTTACAGTCCTGTTTATTTTTGTTTATGACTATGCCACAGTATACATATAGAATCTTTAAAAAAATTTTTTTTTTAGTTTTTGATGTACCTTTTTATTTTTTTATATTTATATGTGGTGCTGAGGATCAAACCCAGTACTTTACACGTGCTAGGCAAGCACTCAGCCACTGAGCCACAACCCCAGCCCCTACATATAGGTTCTTTAACTGAGCAATATTTTTAGACACTTAACTGCACAGTCAGGGAATGCTGGAGAAGGGCCAATCAGCACAAAGTGATATGGCACTTATTTTCCATTTTCAGTAGCAGGTGCTACTAGCACATGAGATTTGGCCCTTTTCTGATCAGGACCATATGACTTTTTTTGTGACAAAATGCTCAGTAGGGAAATAGTTTAGGAGATATCACTCCAATCCAAATTTAGGATGCTTTTAGGACCTGGTGGACAGAGCAGAGGGTGGAAAACAAAAGCAAAAGCAAAAACCTGTTTATTCAGTGAAAGAAAAAAAAAGAATAAAAATAAAGGCTACCACTTATTTAAAAAAATGACCATGTTTATAATACTTAGCTAAGGGAACCCTGTAAATCTAGCATATGATTATTTTGGCCCCAAATGATAAGTCAAACTAAGGAACTAAGATTGAGACTCCACTTTGTGCATGAACACATTTGCCCATGGCTAATGAACAAGGTATCTACAGAGGTATATTTAAGTTGTGATTATTTTATTTTTAGGCCTTAGCAGATTATGGAATTGTGCTGCTGCTTGAAGCTGTAGAAAGTATAATCTTAAATACTCTCATTAATCGTGGAATCGTCTATGCTGAACAAGAGCAGTATGGATTTGCCTTAGAGGTGAGCTCTCCTGTGGATGTGTAAAATGAACCCACTTGATTTTATACATTCTCTTTTGAAAACTAGTGAACATGTTTTCATTGCTACCAAATGGCTATACTAATGAGTGATAACTTTAGCCACAATTGCACTGAAATACTAGGAATGATTAAAAGAACCTTTGCAAGAATGTGTATTTTTACTTCATATTGTTTACAGATAAATAGCCAATGCAAAAGGAATAAATTCTAAATTGACCCAGACTATTACCTCTGGAAAGAAATATACACAAAATTCTTTTGTGTGGCAAATGAAATGATTTGTGTATCACATACTCTGGTGCTTGGTGCTCTTTCTCCTTGACAATTTTTTATTTTCCTATTGAAAGCATATCAAAATAAATATATTTAAGTGATTCAGGGTGTAAGTGGGCAAAAAGGGCCAACGGGAAAAAAATTTTCAGTTAGTGGGGACAACGTGTTCATAATTGTTATAGATGTGAGCGTATGTAGCATATTGAAAAAATAGTTTGATTTTTATTTCATTGTAAAATAAAGAAAATTCATAATTGTCATTTAACTTTATTTTTATTGACTATTTTATGGTAACTTTGGAATTAAGAAACACAAGACAAAAATCAAAGAGCATTTTGAGGTTTACAGTTAGGTAATAGCAGTTTTGCATGTTAGTTTCTAAGGAATTACAACCTAAACATTAGATAGTAGAGTGTTTTCCTATTTTTTTTTCACTTCCCAGGATGGTTTTTATAATTTTTGACATCTGGAGTCATCTTTTGAGATTCTGCCCAACAGAATCACTTGTTTTCTACATTGTTTACAGTATGATAAAATGTAATCTCAACATTTGAATTCCTTTAGGCTTTTGGTAATTGAAAATATCTTTGAGACATAGGCAGAGGCTGCTAAAGAATTTCTCTGTTTGTGGTAGACAAGAAAACTATGGAAATCTGGGCAATAGTATTGGAATAGAGAAAGTGAGAAAAAGGGAGGTGGGGAGCAAAGAACTTCAGCTGTTGGGGAATGAAATACTGGGCCTGTGTTACCTACTGAATGAATATTTATTTTGCACTACACAACTATATTTATCCTATTTGTTGCACAGTTGCTAGGTATCAGGTTCAACAATACTGCAGAATTTAAAATCATAACTTTCAGAGGAGGAAACTGGTATTCAAGAGAAATTAAATAAGTTCTTTGATCCAGTAGATACTAGGGCAAGCCTGAACTAGGTCTCACTTGATCTTGAATGCTGTTCCTTCAGCCAAGGTACTGGCACTGGAGATAAGGATATAAATAAGACTGGGTTAGAGTGCTTGAGGAGATGAAGGCCTGGTGAGAATCATTCTTGACCTCTCTCTTTCCTCTCACCCCACAACAAACCCATTAGCAAGTCCAGTCAGCTTTAACACTAAAACATATTTTGAATTAAATCAAGTCTCCTAATGGCCACTGCCACCTCCCTCTCAACAAGTAGGGACTGAACTCAGATATCAGAGTCCTCTCTCTCCTGGACCATTGCTGCAGCTTTCCAACTGACCTCTCTGCCTCCATGCTTGCCCCTCTGCATGCTCTTCTCCATTCAGCAGCCAGAGAAAACTCTTAAAAGCATAAAGCTGAACAAGTTAACTCCTCTGCTCCAAGCTCTCCAATGGCTTCCCATGACACTTACAATAAAATCTGAACTCTTGACCATGATCGACCATGATCCTACTTGACCTGATTGCTGCTCACCTTTCTGACCTCATTATCAGTCCCCTTTTCTACACCCCAGTTACTTCTCTCTGGCCTTTAGCTATCCCTTGGCAAAGCCAGGCTCCCTTCCTGCACAGGACTTTTGTACAAGCTCTTCCCTGTGCACATGGCACTCTTGTGACTGATCTGTATATGTCTCAGGCCACCCTTCATTTATGTTTCTGCCCGCATGTGACCTCCTTAATAAAAGAAAAATGAATAGGTCATCATAGGTATATAGGAGTGACAGGAGAATGGACAGGAGAATGTGTGGAGTGATGGTATGAGATAGCTAAATCCTATTCTATGTATAAAGTGAATTGTGGTAAAGTTAAATGTGATGCAATACTCATGTTATTTAGAAACTTGAGGGTAAATGTCAGAAAAAAATAACAGGTATGAAAACAGTTGCCTTTATGGAGTGGAACTTGGGAGTGGGGGAGAAGAAGTAGAACAGGGGATCATTAGTTAGTACCTGCGTTCTTGAGTTTTCTTAGAGCCTGAATATTATATACATGGTTTACTTTGATAAGAATAATTGAAGAATGTCTTTTGAGCTAGTTTACAAATTACAGAATAAAATGGGTCTTATTTGGGGGTGAGGGCTGACTAGGGTTCAGGGAGATGGGTAGTGACGGGAACTAGAAAGATGTGGTCATGTGTCATTTCCAGGGCAGGGAGGGTTGAAGAAATGCATGTGAGGTTGGGACAGTGAGATGAGGACAGGAGACAGCATGCATGTATGTGATGGAGCCAGTTTCCAGGGGAAGTGAGATGAATGAATGCTCTGACAGAGAATGGGAGATGGCTGGCAGCGTGTTTGATTACATTATATCTGATTAGACAATCTATTTGTTATTTTAATCCAAATGGTTCCATTTAGTATTGAAACATGCCTCATGAATCTAAGCAGAAAATCCACATTTATAGATCGGTCTGTTTTTTTGATACCTCTTCCTCCTGTTGGATCCCTGAGTGCTCAGCTCAGTCCTGCTGCTTCTCATTCCAATTCCTACCTCCAAAGACAGTCTCCCCTCAAATACAACCAGAGAAAGTTCATGCAAGGAGGAGGGAGGGAGAGAGAGATTGTGCTTTAAAGTTAGCTCTTCTGTAGTTTGGAAATGCCCTTTGGGACTGTGGATTGCTGGTCACCCTCAGGAAGGGAGTCTGGAGGGATTTTGTACTGCAAAGCAGAGTACAGCACTCTCCACTGTTTAGCATGGTCACCTGAGGTCACAACCGAAATTGCCCATGATGATTCCTGCGGAAGAGGACCTCTGGGGAAAAGAAGAGACATTTTAATTCCTTCATAGGTTCTGGACTCTTACTTTAGGAGTCATTAAAATCAATCTATATCATATGCATGTAAATGTATGCATATGTACCTACAGAATATTTTGATTTGTAGATATTTATTTAAATGGGAATTTTAGTAATCTTATTTGGCTTCAGGTTACAAATGTTTTTGTAGGAGTTTGGAAAGCTAGAAGCTTCAGAGACTGTCTCTGGTACTTAATAGAGGAGAGTGTTCTGGGCCACTCTGGCAGGATCCCTTGCAGGCTCAGCACTTTCGATTTTTTTTTTTTTAAACAGCCTGTTCCCGGGGCCACTCAAATCCATTCCAACTGACTTCCCAAACTTCAAATCTTAGGGTTAGAGTTTTCATTCCTTCTTGCTCAGGGAAGCTTCCGAATCCCTGAACAAAGCTACCTATTTCTTTCCAGAAGTGTGGATTCCAAAGATGGAAGCAGGCTTAACTGATTCATACACAAGGCTCAGTTGTGTCTTTTTCTGGACTGGAAGTTTGCTCAAAAGTTTTCTCCAGGGGAGTTTCCTTTTCTATCTAGACAGGGAAGTGTCTGGTGTTGACCATGGGGTATAAACAATAAAAATAGAACAAGTGAGATAATTCATTACACATGGTAGGGAAACACCACGGAAAAATTCCTTTTCTTAAAGTGGAGGCAAGTAGTACAAGATTCTGAATGATTTATAATGACTGGATTCCTTTGCTCCATCCCTTCGTCCTAGTTGTGATCCTGTGAGGGAAAAAAAATGAGGTTTTTAAGAAGATGTATATTTGAATGCTTATGTTAAGTATATTCGTGTGGAATCAAAGATAAAAGTTTTAGAGGGAACTTGCAAAATTAACACAAATTTATAAAACTGTTTCAGGATTTTAAACAAGCTGCACTGATAAGCCAGACCAACGCGAGTCTTTGTCATGCTACCGCCATGTGCCACCACAGGTATGGAGATCAACTGGTGTCCAAGGGGAGGCAAGTGGGGTTATCACATATGGGGACTTGCTTATATCCCCATGAAGAAGCCAGGAAGGAATGGAAGAAATTGGGGACAATTTTGTGGATGTGAAAACATTCAAAAGCAGGGAGAAAAATGAGAATTCCCTGAACAGACACAGGAACCACCACATCTAGCATATCATTGGCGCCATTCTGCCTTCCTCATACTCTCTCAGACCAGTCATGGGGTGAACACCTGCATCATGGTGTTGGGGGTGTCCATTTGTTACCAGCCTGGATACTGCAAAGGGTCTTGGTAACATGTACAATAAAATTATACATAGCTTAAAATATCTAAGCACAGAATAAAGTAATGTAATTTGTTCCTAAAATGAGACTGTCTTTTAAAAATTCCATTTGCTAGAAGAGAGGCTGGTTTTAAAAAGTAATGTATTTTCAAGAAAATTTTGGCTTTAAAACATAAGTATAAATCTAAAACTAATTAAGAAAATGCCAGCAAATGTCTACAAAATACAATGAAATCCAGAAAAGCACAGTACTTAAAACATTATTACCACTTTCTAAGATGATTGCTCTTTACTTCTATAAGTAAGTTATAGAATGAGAGAACATTTATATAAGGCTAAAATATAAACAATCAATTTAAAATACATTTATAATATATATATATAGCCTTTGCTAACCATAATGTTTACATTTCTACATGTACATTTGACATGTGAAGATTAAGTTTTGATCATTTTGCTTCAAATGCATAGAGACACTCAGCACATGCAGATTTTAATATGGGATAAAATGTACTTGGTTAAGTAATAGTTTATAGCATTACTTTTAATAAGAGAAATAGCATTTAATTTAGAGGAGGAAGTTAGGATAATTCATAAATTATATAGACAAGTCTGTGCAACTATTCAGTTTAAAGAATAGAACATAGTTTGCATTATTTAGGAAATTGACACTCTTTTGTTTTTGATACTGGGGATTGAACTCAGGGACACTAAGCCATGTCCCCAGCTCTATTTTGTATTTTATTTAGAGACAGGGTCTCATTGAGTTGCTTGGTGCCTCACTTTTGCTGAAGCTGGCTTTGAACTCATGATCCTCCTGCCTCAGCTTCCCAAGCTGCTAGGATTACCAACATGCACCCCCGGGGCCTGGCTGAAATCAACTCTTTTTATTTTCCATTTTAGCACATAGTCCACATATGTTTCCCTATAAGAATCAGAGGGTTTTTTAAAAAAAAATATTAACAAAGGAATATAGTGACTGGACCTTCAAAGGTGACTTTGGGTTAAAAGGCCTAAATTGGGATAGTACCTTTTATTTTATACAGACAGTAAAACATTGTAACACTGTTACCTAAAACATTGTAACACTGTTACCAGCAACATTTGTACAATCCATTTCATAAGAATCAGAGGGTAATTGTCATTCTTTTTTTTTCTGTTTTAATAATTTTTATTTGTCTAAAAAGAGCCTTTACTTATCTCCATCCTTCAAAAATTTTAAATTAATTAATATATTTAAATTAGGTTTATATGACAGCAGAATGCATGTTGATTCATTGTACACAATTGCAGCACAATTTTACATTTCTATGGTTACACCTTATGTACAGTCATACATATACCTAGGTAATGATTTCTATCTCATTCCACCATCTTTCCTGCACCCTCTCCCGCCCCTCCTCCCCCGCTCCCCTTTGCCCAAAGTTTCTCCATTTTTCACATGCCTACCCCCTCCCTGTTATGGATCAGCATTCACTTATCAGAGAGAACATTCAGCTTTTGATTTTTTGGGATTGACTTACTTTGCTTAGCATGATATTCTCCAACTCATCCATTTACCTGCAAATGTGTTATTTTTATTCTCTTTTAATGCTGAGTAATATTCCATTGTGTATATATATTACAGTTTCTGTATCCATTTATCTATTGAAGGGCATGTAGGTTGCTTCCAAGTTTAACTATTGTGAATTGAGCTGCTATAAACATTGATGTGGCTGTGTTACTATAGTATGCTGATTTTAAGTGTTTTGGGTGTACACCGATGAGTGGGATACCTGGGTCAAATGATGGTTCTATTCCAAGTTTTCTAAGGAATCTCCGTACTGCTTTCCAAATTGGTTGCACCAATTTGCAGTTCCACCAGCAATGTATGAGTGTGCCTTTTCCCCCACATTCTTGCCAACATTTATTATTGTCTGTATTCTTCATAACTGCCATTCTGACTGGTCATGACATTCATTTGGAAAAATAAGAGACCCTGAATAGCCAAAGCAATCTTTAGCAAGAGGAATGAAGTAGGAGGCATCACAATACCAGACTTTAAACTATACTAACAAAAATGGCATGGTATTGGCATCCAAAATAGATATGTAGACCAATGGTACAGAATAAAAGACACAGAGACAAACACACATAAATATAGTTATTTCATATTAGACAAAGGCACCAAAAACATACAGTGGAGAAAAGATAGTCTCTTCAACAAATAGTGTTGGGAGAACTAGAAATCCATATGCAGCAAGATGAGAATAAATACCTGACTCTCACTATGCACAAAACTCAACTCAAAGTGGATCAAGGATCTAGGAATTAGTCCAGAGAAACTGCACCTAACAGAGGAAAAAGTGGGCCCAAATATTCATCATGTTGGATTAAGCCCCGACTTCCTTAACAAGACTCCTAAAGTGCAAGAAATAAAACCAAGAATTAATAAATGGGATGGACTCAAACTAAAAAGCTTCTTCTTAGCAACAGAAACAATCAATGAGGTGAACAGAGAGCCTACATTTTGGGAGCAAATTTTTTGCCACGCACACGTCAGATAGAGCACTAATCTCCAGGATATATAAAGAACTCAAAAAACTTAACACCAAAACAAAACAAACAAAAATATCCCAAAAAACCAAATAGCCCAATCAACAAATGGGCTAAGGAGCTGAACAGACACTTCTCAGAAGAAGAAATACAAGTGGTCAACAAATATATCAAAAAATGTTCAACGTCTCTAATAATTAGAGAAATGCAAATCAAAACTACTGTAAGTAATTGTCATTTTTGAGAAGAGATGGAATAATGATGACTGATGCATTTGTTCTGATGTGTGTGTGCAGATAAAAAATGTCCAAGGTCATTGCATTCTGTTAAAACTAAAAAGAGTCCAAGTTTCTCTCAACATCTTTCCTATGTTTAGCAACTGTTAAGAGTAAGTTTCTCTGTGTGTCAGTTCACAATCTCTTATGAAATGTAATCACTGGGTATATATGGCAGAGCCTTCCTAAGCTGGTACTGCTTTGCAATTCCAAATAACCAACTGTCATCACCCAGCTAGGATCTGTATTGTTCTTCAATAAAAGTAGAATTTAAATCAACAATAAATCCCTGTTAACTCAGAATCCCAATTCTATGTGTATTGAGTTTTAACAATTTTACTGAACTTAACAACAAACAATGTTTACTCATCAGTTATATTTATTTCAGGAAAACTATTTTTTTTTGCTTTTCAAGGTGAACTGTAACATACTATGGCAGTATGGTTTGTAACTATGGGGACTTGCTTTTGGTGTCTTATGGTAGGAAAAGCAAACTTTTCTCACTTGGAAAATTTTATAAAAGGAATAAATCTTTAAATTTTAGGGCTTTGATCTTTGAACTTATGGGATTGCAGACTTTTGAAGTATCCTTTGTATATCTCTGGTTCTCACTCGTGTGGTTGCTAGGAGACAAGATTCCTTAGCTTGAATATCCTACTTGTTGCCCAATTTAATCACCAAGAGTGTTATGATGGAGTTAAGTTTTAGATCTCTTTGAGAAAGCCACCTTCAGATTTTAAAAAATAATAATATAGAAGGCAATTACTCCCTTGTATAACCTACACATTTTTTATTCAGCAAATTTATTTTTACTGTTCTTAATATTTGCATAATTTTAAAAAATCTTTAATTCTGAAAGCCACATTCTCTAGTTGGGGAGGTGTTTGTGATTTATTTGTACAACTCAGTAGGGCACATCTGGTCACGTATGTGATTAATGTGGTAAAGGCAGTGGGCCTTTGTGTTTGTGGCCCAGTGGGTAAGTTCAGCACATGATTTATTGTTAGCAGACACTGACGAGAATCAGGCACCCTTGTGCATGATCACATTACTGTAGATTAAAAGAAACACATTTTATTTTAGAAAAACTTTTAAAATATACTTTTATATTTATAGTAATAGATGCTTAACAATTTGTATCTCTCTGAGCATGCATCTTGACGCAATGTAGATATTCTGCCACATTTTTCCATTGGCTAATTGCCATGGGATGACTTAACGAGATCTTCTACCTAGAGGAAACTTTGATTAACACATCTCCAGAAAAATGAAATTGCTGTTTCTTCATGGGTTTTGTATCTTTTTTCTTGTCTGTTGGTATGGGAAGCAGGGGAGTCTGTCTTCGTCTTTGTCACCTCCTCTGGACTTGATTTTGGTCATCATCAATTTTGAGGTGATTTCCAAGTGGCTTTCAAGATTCATTTCCAGATTTACGGTTCAATGATTATTTACTTTGTTCAAGCAAACTAGATGCTCATTAAAGTTAATGCTGATTACTAGGGAGGTATGAAAAATAGCATCAGTCATTGCCTTTTGGTAACGCACAACTTAGATGACATGGTGGTTTGCCTCGACTCACTGACTCATAGTTTTTATACTTTTTTTGTAATTTGTTAAGCTATACAAAAAGACAGATTATAGGGGGCTGGGGTTGTGGCTCAGTGGTAGAGCACTTGCCTAGAACATGTGAGGCACTGGATTTGAACCTCAGCACCACATAAAAACAAACAAACAAATAAAATATAGGTTAACAAAGAAAAGAATGCTTTTCCTTAAAAAAAGGAAGAGAGATTATGTTTTATAAGCCATATATTAGAATGTGCACTTACACAGGATTTTAAATTTCCTTCTAGGTAAGAGTGGGGGTGTATATGATGCAATTTGAATGTTAATAAACTAGTAATATTTCAGAGTTTTACAGG